TCTGGCCTGTATTCAGGTATCCTAGTTCTTTTATGCATAAATAAATAAATATTTAAAAATATTTACAGATTAAGAGAATCAAGAGATATATTCACTAGATCAACAATACCAAAATAGCATCGTGAGGCAATTAAGAAATGAATTCTGAGTGGATATTGGATATTAAGTGATTTTTTACAAAAGGTGCAAAACGGCATTTTGTGGGCTGATTTAAAAAAAAAAATGAGTCCTCACCTTTCTGAGATTGAAGTATTTATGTATGACATACTTGGTTTCTGGCATTTGTTTCAAAATAATATGGAGTGGGGGTGACAGCTGCAAATAAAGCAAGATTAACCACATTGTTGAAGCTACGTTATAGTGCATTTAACAGTGCCTCTACTGGGGCTATATTTGAAATTTTCAATAATAAAAGCAAAATTAGGAATAAATTCCAGCTATAGAGTAGATTTAAACAGATTAAACAGTAACATTTTAAGATTAATAGTTATTTAAGTTGTCTGGTTTTTTTTTCTTAAAGTAAGTAAACACTGCAAATAAGAAAATAATATAATACAAGCATAAGACAAGGCTCATTTGAGGAACCATACTATAAAAATTAGGAGGACTAGCAAGTGGTACTTAAAATTTAAAAAGCCAAGTACTTTTAATGGATGTATCAGAAACAGATGGAAGACTACTTGTAAACTAACACTAAAGGACACAGGAAAAAATAAGAGGTAGTTAAGTGCTTTTTAAAACACCATGTCAATAGACCACTAAATAGACCACTGCAGAAAGCCACCCCCCCAAAAAAAAATGCTGACAGAGACAAACTGAGCATATCTTTCATTGTAATTAAATTCTTAGTATCTTATTGTGTTCAGTTACTATAAAGGAGAAAGAATTCATTCACGATTTTAGTAGTAATAATTGTCTCTGCAATTGGTTCAAGGAAAAGTTGATAATGGAAGACTAGAAAGCCCACAATCATCCTAGCTTTTAAGTTTTTTTTTTTTTTTTAAAGACTTATTTATTTATGCATACAGAACTGGGGTACAGGCCAGAGGTACACGGGCAGTGAGAGGACTCACCAGAGACAGAGTGGGGAGCAGAGCAGGCAGACTGATGAGGTACAATGCTGAGGGGAGCAGCAGGCGAGACAGGAGAGGTGTGCTGTGTCATGTGGATCACCTACTGGGCTGGGGATCAAACTCACACTGAAGTGGCTGCGGCTATCTTGCAGTACTGTGTCCTAACTCATTGTGCCACCAGGGAGGGCCCTGCTTTCTAAGTTCTAAGAAAGAAACTGAACAGATACTTACTGGTAATACAAGGAAAAGAAGGGGGAAACAACTGAGGACTAGAAGAAAAGCAAAATCAATGGTAAGTTCATGTTGTACCATATTTGTAGTGGCAAGTTTCTTGAAGCCATATATACATTTCAAATCCAAGAAATCTAATAAATAACATATGTATTATCTGTCTATAAACTCAAGAGGTTCTCCCTATTGGGTCAGTTAGAATTGAAAAGTTTCTATGGCTCTATTAAATTAGCTGAACATTTAGGAGTTAAAAACTAGAAAATAAATACAAACAAGAATAGGGGACAAATACAAGTTGAAGAGAAAGCCTAAAACAAATGATCTATATAGCAATTGCCTTAGGACTCTGGTTCGTGCTGATTTAGTCACAAAAATAAAAGCCATGATGAAAGAGATAAGAGATTTATTATTAATATCATTCTTGCGGTGAAATCAAAGGATTTTTGGTCTACAACTACTGTGTCACCTTCACTACAGTTTACAAATCTGAAGAATACAAAAGAACTGTTAACAACTATGTATTTATGCCATGTGTGGTATGACAAAACATGAAAGAATGCAGTTTTATTACATTCTCAAATAGAGGCAGGTCATAGAATGACAATGGTCAAGCTAGTCCTTGGTGGTGGGAGTGGTGTCACTTATCCTTTCCTGCCACTGCTGCTTTTTATGCAACTTGGCTGAGAATGAGTGGGAGGAAACTGGCACTTCAAGCTCTGTTGGCCTATGGCTTTATCTTCTTTTCCTCAGTTCCACAAAATAGAGCCATGTAATACCACCAGGAGGTGTAACAATTGTGGAAAACTCCCACTCTCCAGAAAAGTGTTCAAGATCTCAAAAGCCAGTGTTTGAAATCTATCTTTACACTTAACTGCCACCATATATGAACTAGCAGTAGTTCCAGGGATGTATTTTGAAAGGGGATACATTTTTCTTTTTAAACTAAATCTTTCTGGGTAAGGACAAATCATAAATAAAAATTCCAGTTTTCCTGAGTCATGGGTTCTACTTATTTATTGCAAAAAGCATTTAAATATAATATTTATTGATGTTTTTTTTTTAAATTCCTTTCCAACCTAAATTGTCTCCAGAGGATAATGAATTTCCAAAATTTTCCAGTGTGAAAAACTAGTTTCAGTTTTGTCCTTGATGGAAATTCTTATCTTTAAATAAGATAGTGAAGATGGAAAATCCTACTCCAGCCCAATTTCCTTATTTTGTAGGCGAGGAATCCATGGCCTGGAGATTCACATGATTTGACCTCAAATCATACCTATAGCAAGTAAAAAGGACAGTATTGGAACCTTAAGTCAGGTCTCTAAATACCCTAACCATTATCCTTTCTATCACATAAGTCTTCATGCTTAAGTATGCCCTTGTTTCATCATTTCCAAATTCCCTTATCTCCTCATTTTCACAGCATCCTTTGTATGGCTCTACTTCATCTCCACTATGGCATTGTAAGGTGAACAGTCTAACTGGACACAATGTCACAGGTACATAGTTCTGTGAAATTTCGAGGTTTAGAAGGAACTTCTTTTCTCCTACTAGTGAAAGATGAAAACGACATGCTAAGTATTCAACAGTAAAAAACTTCATGTTATAATCTAAACATGATACCCATGAACATTTAAAATTCTGGTGGCAAGAGCCTTATATTTTCTAGACTAACTTGGTTCAAATCTCCATTCTAAGTGGGGCAGTAAAAAGGAAGAGAGGAGTTATTTCTGAACAACAGTTCTTCCACTAGATGACTTGGTGACTACTTACATGGCAAATTTATCTGAAGCACTTGGAATTGGTAATGCAGATGATAAAAGAAAAACAATATCAAATCAAAAGCAGCAGCAGAAATACTGCCTTGATTTCTATATCCTGAAAAATGTACAGCCTCTTCAGATTGTTGAGTACCACAAATTTATTCCTCCAAGAGAGAAAGGTGTTTATTGGGTGTTTTCTCCTGCTGTCGTTGGCTTAGAAAGTTTTGAAAAGACTTTGGAACTTTTTTTTTTAAATAACATAATAGTTTATTTTATATTATTATTATTATTTTAATACTTATTTTTACATCATTTTGTAGTTTTTTTCCCATCTCAACTGCAATTTAAGCTACTTAAATTGGCACCTTAGTCTTTCTAACATATTAAAAAATAACCACGAACCATCCAGTTAGTCAAGCTAATTTCCATTTGGAAAAGAACCATGACTTTATCTTTGAAGAGCAAAAGCCAAGGTACATAGAAAGGAAAATAATGTCTGGAGGGCCTAGTGGTCAAATGAGTAGCTGCTAAAGGAAAAATTATTAAAGGAAATCACTTTTCAACCATGTTGCTTATCTCAATGAACTCTCACTAGAGGCCATCTGCAACAGTTACCAAAAGCAGACTGATAATGCAACTTAAGTCTTTGCGCCTTGATTCAAACAACAGTCTTCTAAGGAAGCTAGTTATCTATTGTTACTTTCAACTTGCCATCTGAGAAATCTGAGGTATTGTAAAGTTAAGTAACTTGTCAAAGTTACAGAGCTTGAACCTAGCTCTGCAGGTTCTGCAACCTGAGCCCTTCCCGCACTCCACTGCTTGCCAGGTAGCACAGAAAATTTTGAAAATAAGTTCTCTCTCATACATTATGCAAGTCACTGGATTTACTTTTCTCTGGTATTCAGAAAGCCTCAATAGTTTGCCATTTACACTTCCTGATTTTTTAAGTTGGGTGGGTAGTGCCAATGAACCATTTTTGTCACCAGTTATTGCATGATCACTAAAACCCGAAAGGAAGAGAACTGGTTAAATTCTTAAACTTTACTTCCTGTTGGCCTAGAAGAGTTTATGTAACCACTGTTCTTTCTGATACACAAAATATATGTGTTAAGGTTTTCCTAGTATAGCAAGTCACTCAAATTACCAGCTAAGTCTTAAAGGGAATCAACTATGTATTAGTCACTCTATCTGTCACGGAAGTTAAAAGCAGATCAAGAGGATATAAACCTGGGTTGTTTTCTTTATGGGGACGTTCTTAATGACTTCTTAAAGAGAATGGAACAAGTGGCCCACTGAAAATGAAGTTTAGTGGAAGAGGAAATGAAGAGAACCCACTTTCACTGGGTCAAAAAAGCAAAGGGTGAGTCTCCTCTAGAGTAACTTCAGCCTGATCACAATGGCCACTTGTTACACCTACCACCGACTCCACCACTTGAGGTTCATTAATAATCACAAGTAACTCAACAAGTTAAAGACCTACCCGACCTGGCCCACGGTCTCCACCCACACTCCCGAGCGAAGCAGCGGGCTAGGACGCCGCATTCCCCACCCGGTGCCTCCGCTGTCGCCCGGGAGGCCCAGCCCATAGCCAGCCCGGGGTCGAGTCTATCCTCCGGTCAGAGCAATGACCCGAGGTCCAGGCCACCCCGCCCCCTGCTTCCTCGAACATAGGCAGGGCGCCCAGAGGTGTCCAGGCAGCGCCAGGGACAGGGGGGCCGGACTCAGAGAGAAGGGGACTCCGAGGCCGTCCCGAAACCAGGAAGGGGCCCCTCCCAGCCACGCCGGAGGGACAGGGGACTACAGCCGCGGTGCCGCCATGATGTTGCTGGCCGAACGGGGGGCGTGACGCGACCGGCAGCGCGCCGGGCCAGTACCCCAGTCCCCTCAGTCGCCTACCCCGCGTGGGCCTCGCCACAACTGCCCCCCCGATACTCACGCTTTGTCCACCAGCTCCCGCACCTTCCACATGTTCAACATCGCGTCCCGCGCGGGTCGGCCCGCCGCCTCCTTTTGCCGCTCCCCACGGAACCCGGAACACGTCGGCACCGGAGCAGGTCCAGGCCGGGGTCGCCACAGCCGCCCGCCGCTTCCAACTCCCCAAGTCAGCTCCGCCTGCCAGAGCTGCGGCGCCGCCGGTGACACGTCGAGACGCGGGGGCAGCGCGCTGCGTGGACCGGAAGTGCCCGCCTTTCCGCCCGCGCGCGCAGGGCACGCCGGGATGAGTAGTTCAGCCTGCGCTCCCGCCGGGACCCGCGGAGCAGAGGTAGGGGTCGTGTCCCAGTTGGGAAGACTTTTCCTCAGTTTCCCGTCCTTTGCGTCCCGTCCCGCCCTTCGTCACCAACGGAACCGGAACTCGGGCTTAGGGCCCAGCCAGGTGTGCTTTGGCCCCCACACTCTCCTCCTCAGAGGTGGGCTCTGCCCACGCGCCCACAGGCTTTCTCAGTATCCAGACTCCTAAGGTGATTAATCGTGATTCCACGGCGCTGTGATTGGCATGCGCCCCTCCACGGCCGACGCCCGGCTGGGGTTCGTTCCAAGAGCCCCTCCCAGTTGCAAGCGGTTGTATCCTAAAACCTGTCTACGTGGTTGCTCAAGTTTTATAGCCAGACGGCCCCCTGCTATTCAAGTTAGTCATCGTAAACACCAAAAACTCAGTTACCACGCCATGGAAAACCGTTAAAAGGCCACAACTCTGTGACACACCAAAGAAGTTGGCAAGATCATGCTCTTCAAAGTCTAAGTATAAGCGCGCACACACCACATTAAGTATTTTCATTGCAATGCTTGTCGTCACTTTCTACTCATTTTGGACAATATTCTTGTGAAAGCGACCAGTAACCTTAATCAATACTTTGGGTCAGCTCCTTACATTTTAGTTCCTGTCAGTTGACAGGTATTTACTGAGCACCTTCTCAGGGCAAGGAGTGAGGGATACAGAAGCCACCTGAGAAAATCCAGGGCACTTCTCAGTCAGGATGTAACACTAAAAAGCAAGACCTTATATCCTTCCATCTTAAAGGTCTCTGAAGGAAACAATCAGGCAAATATTTAAGAGAAATGCTGATGGTATGTGGTTGAAAATAAAAGATAATGTTAAGAGGAAAACAGCATTAGGAAATGATTAGGGCTTTTTGAAGACATTATAGTTCAGCTGAAATTTAAGTGATACAAAGAAATTGACCATAAAAATCATAGGCAAGAAAACTAGTTACTCGTGAAACCAGGTAATGACTAGCCCAAATCAAGAATCCAGAATCTTCGACCCCTCATTCCACAGATCAAGTCACCTCTTCTTGTTGCATCCGCTTACTTATAGTAAAGGTTTCAGAGATAATTAACAGGTTGAAGAAATTGCCAGGCAGATAAGGACAAAAAACAGACATCCGGGCAAAGCTGCCATAGAGTTTTGTTGACATAGAAGTGCTTGGGCTAACAAAAAGTGAATTTGGAAGGTGGTAGGGGAAAGTAGGTAATAGTGAGCATAGATAGAGATAGAGAGAAGGAATTTCAAATGAGAAATTTGTGTTTCCAGTCTAGGGTTCAAAGTATGGAATGTAGCCAGAGGAGATAAGAGAGAGAAACTGCTTTGCATAAATAAGAGCTCAGCAAGTTAATTTTCAAACGAGCAGGTCCAGGGTACATTGATTGCCTGGGTAAGATAAAAAATAGCCACCTTCCCACAGGGCCAGTTCGCAGTCACAGTGTATAGTAGCATTTCACAGTCAGCCCCACCAGTTACTAGAAGAGTACAATGTTGTCTATTTTGCTTTTTCCAACACTAAGTTTGGATGTGTCTAGACTTGTCACTTGTGACATTTGCACAGTCAACCTGGGGCCAAATGTAACACCAAAACTGGTGCCTGTCCTTGACACAAGAGCGATTTTGTGGACTCAAAAGAACCAGACTAGGGGATTTATTCAGAAATGATCTGCAGAGACTAACCATTTGCATGTCAACAAAGTGTTCCATTTATACCTATGTTTTTGCAAGTTTGGGAGCAGTTTCCATAGTAACTTCTTTGTGGCAATTTAAAAGTGTCCACAGTAGGAAAATACAGGAGAAAGTGTTCTACCTATCCCTCCTCAGGAAAACATTCATTTTTCACTAAATGAGCTGATATTGTTAGTAAGACCAAACCAACATGAGGTTCATAGCAGCCGTGCTCTGCTGTATTATTTATGTGAACAATTGTAGACAATGAACACTGACAGCTTAGATCCTCTGTCTGCCTCTGTGTTGTTTCCTTTGGAGGAGTCATGGGACACCAGTAGGACAGACCCCCATCTTTCCTTTTTTTTTTTTTTTTTAAGATTTATTTATTTATGTATATAAGAACTAGGGTACAGGCCAGAAGTGGGGGTGGATGGGTGTGTGAAAGGATTCGCCAGAGACAGAATGGGCAACAGAACAGGTAGATCAACTGAAACACACTGCTGAGGGGAGCAGTGAGAGGGAGGAGAGGCCTGCCATGCCATATGGGTCACCTCCCTGGCTGGGGCTCAAACTCGTGCTGCAGTGTCTGTGGATTACTTCATAGTGCTGTGCTTCAACCTGTTTTACCACTGAGGAACCCCCAGACCTTTCTCCAAGAGAACCAGTTGTGAGGAGTATGGCCAACAGCTGCCAGCAGCCACTCTTTCGAATCAGCCACGGCATTTATATTAAGGCCAGGCTGCCACTGGGCTACTCCCAGGTAATGACTGAGCAGGGTGTGCTGGAACCAGGCCATTCCTGTCTAGTGCATGACTTCTTTATGTGGCAACTGTTGTCCTGGACTCTGCTGCCCAGATTTCCTTGTGATCTTAGATTCTCCCCACTTGCTCTTTCTCCCACTTCTCTTTATCCTTCATAGACATTCACTCCAATAAATCTTACACTTAATAATTCTATCTATATCCTGCTTCCTGCATTATCCAAACTGACAACAGGCACATGTTGTTTTAAGTATTTAAGTATTTGCCTCCATGGGTTTTGCTTTGCCTCACAACTGACTCACAACTGCTTCGCTGTAGAAATTGGGATACTTGGTTTCTGACCCTACTGTGAAGGATGCCAAGCAGATTATATATTGCACAACTTCTGTGGCACCACTTATGTGGACTATTAGGAATTGCCAAACTCTTGACCTCAGAGAGGAGGGATTAGTTAACAAATGTGGATTCTGGGCTCAGCCAAATGTAGGTACAAATTCTGTATCTTCTATTCAATAGTTTGCTCTTTCTAGAAAAGTTTACTAAATCAGCATAGTATAGTACTTGTGAACTTGAATGCTAAAGCCAGACTGCCTGGGTTTGAATCTTAGTTTTACTGTGGGACCTTTGGAGGAAGTTAGTTGCTATTTTTGTGACTCATTTTTCTCATTGTAGTGGGAGATATAGAAACCCAACTTAAAGGCATAGACAATTAAGTAAGTTATAAGGAATGTATAATTAAGTTATAAGGAACTTAATTTTTTTATAAACTGAAAGATGTGATCTGTCGGAGAATCCTAAACTTGAGCTAAAAATCAGAAATTCCTAGAAACTTAAAAATTTCATATTCTCTTGACCTATACCTTGAAGCCCTTATTCAATAAGTATATTATTTTTTATACTTCTGATCACAAATGGCAGAATTTCAAAAGTAGCTTTCAGCAGAGCAAGGGAACTTATTCACACTGGAGACTGATGAGTGCATAGATAGAATTTGCCTCAGGAAGTTAGCAAATATTATCAGAATTCCGATTCTCATTTTCCTTTACTGAAGTTAGGTTTTTCTTAACTGATGGAAAATAGGGTTACCACCTTGTAGGAAACAGGTAGCATTTTTTTCAATCAGGCAGCCAAGGGGGATGAGATACTTTGTATTTCATCTTCTGAGTCCACTGGCACAGGGAATCCTCCAAATGGACCAGTTTGGAGCTTGTTGCTTTCTTGGGCGGGTCACCTCTAGGAAGCATGCATTACAGAATTGGTTCTAACCCTAGAACCACATGCAATGAGGAAAGAAGAGTTTTTTTTTAAGAAACTAAAGAAGGTACTGTCTTGGCAGACAAAAAAACAGTTGTTTATTGTTGTAGTTATAAGATCGGGATCTAGGAATCTGATTTTTTTTCTTTCTTTTTATAATTAGTGGCCTTTTTCCAGTCCATTTTTATTGAAGTGACATTATACCATTATATAAATTTCATCATTAAAAATCAACATTTCTATATAATACACCATAAAGTTCACCACTAAAAGTCCAATTTTATCCTTCACCATTTATCGGCCCCTTTTACCTGGTTTACCTATCCTCTTACCCCCTGCCCTTCTAGTAAACACTAATTGATCTTATAGTCTACAAATTTATTTTTGCTTTTTTTCCCCTCTGTATATGCATATGAGTGAAATCATATGGCATTTGTCTTTTTTTTTATCTAACTTCACTAAGCATGAAATCTTCTAGGTTTGTCTATCCAAGTTGTTGCTAATGGCAGGATTTCATCTTTTTTAATAGTGGAGTAGTATTCCATTGTGAATATATACCACATCTTCTTTATCCATTTGTTTCCAGCTTATGGCTGTCATAAATATTGTTGTATTAAATGTGAGGGTACATATATCTCTTCAAATTAGTGTTTCTGTATTTTTTAGGTAATACCCAAAAGTGGGATAACTGGACCATATGGAATTTCTGTATTTATTTTTTTTTGTGGAATCTCCATACTGCTTTCTATAATGACTGCACTAATATACAGTATACTAATATCTCATAAACCTGTACAAAGATTAAGACTGTGTATTTCAAGAGAAGAATTTAAATTATTTTTGCTGGGGCTTGGGATGCTTTGGGTTAGATAACAAAATGTCCTTTCTAGCTCTGAGACCATGTTTCCCCCGTCCCCCCACCAAGGTCCAAGTTCTACAAATACAGCTGCACTGGAGAGAGTAGAAGAGAAAAGAATACTGTGGGAGCACAGAGGAAAACAAAAGGAGTACTGACATGTTGGAAGGAGGTAAGTGAAGTTGTGTGGGTAGTGCAGCGGATAGCTGGTAACAGGCATGTCCTTACTATATTTTGGTTCTCCTGACAGTTGGGCTCTTTGTGGCTGAAATTCAGTTTCCTTTCAGGGCTGCCAGCAGGGCTAAGGTGGGCCTATTCAGAAAACCTAGTAGGTGTTCTCAAGGGCTGACACACTTGCAGTCTTCTGCAG